CTTGATGCTGTACCTGTCAGCAGAGGGGGCTAGCTCCGTGGTGGCTCTACGGACCAACAGGTTAAAGGGAAAGTCTGTGGAGGCTGGGCTTTGAGGGTTCTGGTTGGAGTTTGGTGTTCTGGTGTCCAGAATTTGGAACAGAATTAACCTGTTGTCCCTCTGCCACAGGAAAAGGTCTCACAGCTGGAGGCAGAGTTAGACGAGGAGAGGAACACTGTGGAGCTGCTGACTGACCGGATGAATCGTGGACGGGACCAGGTAACCCCTTCCTTACCCCTCATCCTCAAAAAACAACTCCACCATCCCATGTTTAATAATCTGGAAAGCTCTGGCTGCAGAATTGGTGCATGGCTGGCTCTACTTTAGGCTTTCTTCTGCTTCAGAAAGGGTTGGCAGGTCTCCTCTGATAGAAAGAAGCGAGAAATTTTAGTGGAGAAAGGAATTATCTCTGATCTGATCTGCTTCCATTCAGAAGGGATGCTAGATCTTGGTGTGACTGAGGAGGCCCTATTTAAATTCTGTGGCTCCTCCCATTTAAATAGGCTGTGATTTCTTATTGCCTGGGAATTGTGGGGATTCAGAGAGCATCCTACAGTTACTCTGCCTTACGTGGTTCAGCTTGCTGGTTCATTACTAGCCTTCCCCAAGTCTGGTTCCTCTCACCCATCCCCACTAGGTGGACCAGCTGAGGTCAGAACTCATGCAGGAGAGGTCTGCACGGCAGGACCTGGAGTGCGACAAAATCTCTCTGGAGAGACAGGTGAGGGGAAGGAATGGAGAGTTTTGGGGCTAGACCCCAGAAGAAAGGTAGAATGACCATGGAAAGGATTGGAAGTGGGGTACTAACTACAGAGGCTTCCTGTCCCTCTCAGAACAAGGACTTGAAGAGCCGGTTGGTTAGCTCAGAAGGCTTCCAGAAGCCCAGTGCCAGCCTTTCTCAGCTTGAATCCCAGAATCGGGGGTTGCAGGAGCGGCTGCAGGCTGAAGAGAGGTGACATGAGCCCATCCTCCCTCTCTTCCTCTGGGCTTTTCTTCTCGGGGGCCCCCTTCATCTTCTGCCTTAGACCTGGCCGACTTGGCCTGATAGTCAGGGGATCCTTTTCTCTTGATAGAGAGCAGAGTTGCAGAAATTCTAAAATGTGAATGACCTCTATCTCCCAGGTTCTTTGGGTCCGCCTTGGACCCTTCCCAGCCTGATGGTGGGGCTTATGACTGGGAGGAGTCCTCGGAGGCAGGGGCCATGCTGGGGTTCCTGGGTTCCTTTAGAAATGGTGACGGCCATAGGCATCCCCCACCCCACCCTCTTAGGGAGAAGACAGTTCTGCAGTCCAACAACCGAAAACTGGAGCGGAGGGTTAAAGAACTGTCCATCCAGATAGATGATGAGCGGCAGCATGTCCATGACCAGAAAGACCAGGTAAGGACAGCAGCTGGCACTAAGTAACCATATGGCAAGTCTATAATGTGTGTCTCTTGAAGGCCAAGGGAGGCTCCACCTCACAGGTCTTCTGAGTTTAGATTGAAGGGACTGGATTAGAGCTGTCACAAGAAGCCCATGTATTAAGGGTCTATGATGTGTTAGGTTCTCTTTCTAAGTGTTATATGTGTATTAACTCATTTAATCCCTAGGACAAACCTATGAGGTTAGGCAACTTGTCCATAGTCATAATATTTTTCTGGGGGCAATGATCCTTTGTCAAGGTTGCTAGTGAGGTTGGTGTGTGTCATGGTAGCAGCAGATGCTTTTCTAATGTGGGGACTTGGTATCTTGCCCAGCTAAGCCTGAGGGTGAAGGCTTTGAAGCGGCAGGTGGATGAAGCAGAAGAGGAAATTGAGCGACTGGATGGCCTGAGGAAGAAGGCCCAGCGTGAGCTGGAGGAGCAGCATGAGGTCAATGAACAGCTCCAAGCCCGGATCAAAGCCCTAGAGAAGGACTCCTGGTATGGGCTACTCTTCTGCTCCCTGATCCATTGGGATAGTAGAGCAGGAAAGGAATGGGCTCTCCTGAGCAAGAGAAGGAGTATCTCTAAGATGAGAATTCATAGTCATTCATTCCTGGCTAGAAGCCAGTATGATTATCTTCTAGTATCTCATTCCCCATTTCCACAAATCTCTTGATTGGTGAGGGATCTTGTGAGTAGTTTTAGGACTTAGAAGAATTGAGTTTCCTTAATATGAAGAGTATCTATCTCAATCTTTCTATTTCCCTCTATTACCAGTATTCCTCTCTCTGACTCAGGCGCAAAGCTTCACGTTCAGCTGCTGAGTCGACCCTCCAACATGAAGGGCTGAGCTCAGATGAGGAATTCGACAGTGTATATGATCCTTCCTCCATTGCATCACTGCTCACGGAAAGCAACCTGCAGACCAGCTCCTGTTAGCTCATGGTCCACAAGGGCCCAGAAACCATACCTGAGGCCTTTCCTGGCCAGCCCTGCTCTGCCCTGCAAAGCCTCAGATTCCTCATTCCTGTGGGGGACCCAATTATTCAGACCTAAGACAGGGAAGGGTGTGTGAGTGATGGTGATAAAAAAGCATCAGTGCTAAGCTTGGTAGACAGACTTTCCCTTTCCTCTGGAGGAGTAGTTATTTTAGGCCAGCTGAGCCCTTCCCTTAAGTGCTGACCCATCCCTCACAGAGGCAGAATGATCAGCATATAGGCTGAAGGGGATTGATCAGGGTAGGAAGGGACAGAAATTGCCATGTATATAAAGCTTTATTTCTTTAGCCCTTAATCCTCAGGCTCAGGGAAATACTCTGTGTGATTTTGCTGCCTTGACTCCTACAAACTGTTTTCCTCTCTCTCTGGATCAGGGTGAGGGGAACATTATGGGTAGTGGACATGCTGGCATGGCTCTACCCAGTTCTTAGATGCTCATCTTTGCACAGCCATGGGTCTCATGGGGTATTCCCCACGCCCCTCCATTCCTATATATTTTTTTGTCTTCCCCATGCCAGTGGATCCAAGGGATCCCTCCACCATCCCTTCCCATTATCACCATTCCTACCTTCCTTCTTCCCATTCAGTGCCTTGGCTAGGGTGAGGAGATATGGATGCTCTTCTTGCTGTTCATACCTGCACATTCATACCTCTCCAAGGACCAGCCATTCCCCAGTTGGGGCCCTCTGCGTTCCTTGCAGCCCCATTGAGTGGTTGAGAGAGCTACTGGCCTCTTTGCTGATAAGCTCCTAGGGGAAGGGCCTTTGGGAAGGCTGTCATAAGTTGGTGGGGCTTGGTTTTGTTCAGGGTTTCCATCCTTCCTCCTTTCTCTTGTGGCTATGGATGAGTTTATAAAATGGTTACACCTGGAAACACTGACAGCTGTCTACACAAGGTTGGGAAGCAAAGGTCTTCCTCATGGTGTCTCTGACCAGATGTGCCCAATCTCAGCAGGGATCTGAGGGACCTTCATTATATCAGGAGCTTGGGCCTGATACATGGCTTACTGCCTGGGGCTGGCAGCTGGCTCTTGGTAGAAATGGGAAAAGATGATGGAGGATTTATTCCTCCTTTGGGTTTTTGGGGAGAACCAAGTCCTGGTGGGGAGGAGGTAAGGGAGATGATTCACCTCCCTTATTTGCTAAGCAGACTCTGTAAGGACCCTCGGGAAGGATGAAGCCTGTTCTCACCAATGACTTATAATTTCATGATTAAAAAATAATTCCTGTTATGTAAATCAGATATTTCCTTCCAAACCAATCCAGCCTTGATTTTATTTTAAATTAAATATTAAAATTATATATCTATACTGAAATCCTTCATTTGTCTTATTCTTTTTTCCTGGCACATTTGGAGGTCCACATTTTATGAAGAAACCATTTTAACTGTTTAACCATTTTATCAACTTAGAAGCTGAAGCTGGGATTTAAAAATTTTCTTTACATCACTCTTAGAGGCCCTTTAGAACAGATCATATGGAACCTAGGGAACCTGGAAGTGTACAGCACCTCCATTCTCTTCTCCACAACCTTCTAGAACTATCAAGGCCAGTAAATACCTGCTCTGAGAGTTACAGAAGAGAGGTTACCAAGTGGGTTTTATTCCTTTGGGGCACAGGGATATGTCTAGCATTCACCTCTCAGGTATAAAGACACTCCTCCATTCCTACCTGGGAGGCAGGGAAGTTTCTGTCATCCCTGCCGTTGTGTTACCTTGAAGAGGGAGCTAGCTGTTTTCCAGAGCCTATTGCCAGATTTAGGGGTACTGCCCATTCCAGAGTGGGTCAGATCTGCCTACTTTCCATGTGGACCACAGCCTGGTGAAGCAGCCATCTGCAGAGAGCAGCTGGGCTTGAAGAGGCTTCAAGGTCCTGCTTGGCCATTCTTTTAGGCCCTAGGATGCTAACCTGGGCTTGGGGAGCAAATGTCATCGGAGAAGTTGAGGTTCATCATTTCTCAAGAATACAAATACCTTTAAAGGCAACGTGCCCCAGCTCTCGTAACCATGTAAGGGCAGCATTGGTATAATAGCGTCTGCAAAATAAGTCCCACCCAGAGCCAAACTGGCTTTGACTTTGGCCTGGGCCTCCTGCCAGGTAAGCACCTGCCAGACTCGCTTAGGCCAGTCTGAGTGAGCTTGCCCTTACTGCCTGCATTTTGTACGCTGGAGGAAAGGTTTGCCCGGCTCCACAAAGTCTACAGGCTGGCCTACGTACAGGAAGAGGACAGTACGTGGAAGCTTTTTTCCAACCCATCGTCTAGGGGCAGGCAGGGTGATGCTCTTAACCACCGCTGATCTTGCAGTTGAAAGGGGTAAACGACCAAAGAAGAGAATGTTTGAAGTGTAACCACACACGCTAGACAAAACTTCGGCCAGGCTCACTTAGATCCCGAGCTCCGCCTTAATGTAAAATCTAGGCAGGCGCAGATGGGCGTGGCCTTAAGCTCTAGGCCACGCCCTCCACGAGCTCCCGCTTACCCTCGTTGGCGAACGGCGTCTTTGGGGCGTGTCCCATGGCTAGACCCCGCCCCTGGCGCGCCTATACAAGGGGGCGGTTCCACGCGCGCCAGCGTAGTAGGAACTAGTGTGCTGGCCGGACGTTCACGCTCTATGCTGCAGCATCCTCGGGAGATGAACGGGACGGGGAGTTGGTGTTCCCTGGTGGACGTACACCCAGGGGAGCGGACCGAGGTAAGAAAAAGAGGCCGCACCGCCTCTTTTATTCTTGGCTTCCAATTCCGCCCCTCCCGTGCCCCGCGCCTAGTTCGCTGACATCTCCTGGCTCCGCGACTCTTGTTTTTCTTTTTTTCTACCGGCCGGCGGCGGGCAGGGTGAGTCGTGGGACAAGGGCTCCTGTGAGGCTCAGGGCGTCCCTGCCCTTTCGGAGGACACTGCGTCTCCTGCCCGGGACCCGGCGCCCATTTCCCGTGCTCTTTGCTCAGGCGTCCTGTGGGTAATAGATTGTGTCGGAGGAGAATAAGCTCCAGGGATGGAATCTCTGCTCTCGTTTGGACTTTGGGTCGCCGATGGAGGGGAATTAGGCTTTTCTGTGGGTCCTAGTGACCTCAGAGGCCCTTCAAAGAACTTCATGGTGCTTTGGGTTATCAGTGTGACAAGACAAAGGGTAGGGTGAAATCCTACAGCTCGGACTGGAGGGTGGGGGCGCTAGGACTCCAAGAACGCCGAGATTGGCCAGTATCTCTACCTTTCGGATTTCTCCTCCCCATTTGCAGTTCTCCTGCTTCCCTCCCCCTGTCGGACAACCGATAGCTTTCTGGGACGGTTTTTGTTGGTTTTGCTTCCGTCTCCCGCCTCCAAGCCCCGGACAAGTGGATCAAGGAGCTGCCAGAATTTGGGCTGAGAAGGGAAGGGAAATGATCTATTCGAGGGTTTCTGTAGGGAGTAAGGGTCGGGGAGAGAGGGCCGTTCTCTAGGGCTAACCGATCTGCCCTGCTGCCCTCACTCCTTGCCTCCCTGACCCTGTTCTCCTCCCCACCCCAGCTGACCATATGATTTTTCCCCTCCAGAGGCAGAGGCGGCTAACTTGTGGCCGAGTGTTTTCTCCCTTTACTCTGTCCAGTCCTCTCGTCCAGTCTCAGCATGCCCCTGAGGTAGCTAACCCAACTGCACATCTTCAAAGATATTTGTAGAATGGTTCCTCATTTCACGTTTAGGAATAGAGGTGGTCACTTAATTCTGTTCACAGTTCCCTCTCTATTTCTGCCTAAGTTGCGAGTGTTCCGACCACATTGCAGTACAGGTCTTGCTGCTGCCCAACCCCAGGCCCCCAGTCCCTCATCTACTGTAGCCTGCCAGTTCCTCAGCTACAGGACTCTGAAGAAATGGGAAAAATATCCTCTATTGTGTCAGCCCCAAGTCCTATTCCATGCTCTTGCTCACGGTTTTGGAATGGTGAGGCAGGGAAAAAGGTATGAGGAAAGCAAAGGAGAGTGGAGTTTTGGCTTCTTTTGTGCTTGTTGTAGAAAAGAAATCCTGAAAGGTCTTAAGACCAAGGCATTGGCAGTGTTGAGAATTCGTACTGACACCGTCTTCTATTCCTTGATGTTCCTCTTCTATTCTTAGGTCTGGTGGGACAGAAAGAGTGGGTAGGAAAATTGAGAGCAAAGTCTCCGGTCATAGGTTAGTTTGAAGCTAATCAGACACCTGTAGAACAAAGGGGAGGCAAATTCCCTTTTATTCTTTCTTTATAGGCTGGGCTTGAGAGTTATTTTACTTCAAAGCTGGGAATGAAATAACCATTGCCCTAATCTGTTTTTGGAGACATTCCTGAGCTCTTAAGGAGGGGGAGGAGATGGTAGTCAGTCAGTCAGGAGACAGGCTTTGTCCTGGATTCCTCTCCTCTGAGCCAGCCAGCAGAGAAAATTTATGCTTTGGACAGCCCTCAGGGTTTTGTCATATATTCACCCCATTGAGTGAGTGCGTAGTGCGGGTGCAAAGTGAGTGAGTGAATAAATAAACAACCAGATGTTTCTTATGGTGTCAGCAGCATAGACAATTTAACCAAACTGGTGTGTCCTTGTGCGAGTCAGGACCCTGGGACCCTGTTGGTGTTTCCCTACCAGCCAGGCCATATGCTTTAGTACACTACACATGGACATGGAAATATGACTAACACTCTCTGGGTTGCTTTTACTGTTGGAGGCAGATGCAGCAGGTCCAAGGGAACCAGTTTTTCAAACTGCAAGTCTTAACCACCAGTGGGTCTGCAATCAACTTACGAATTAGAACCAGCATTAGAAAAGAAATAGTTTCCAATTATATGACATTCTGGAAAAGGAAAAACTATGGAGTTAAATACAATGATTAGTAAAAAGCAGAGTTGCCAGGAGATTAGGGCACAGGGTGGAGAGATGAACATAGATTTTCAGGGGCAGTGAAAATACTCTGTATGATGTAATGGTGGATATATGTCATTATACTTTTGTCCAACCATTTTGTACGACACCATTTACTTCTTAGAGTGAACCTTAAGGTGAACTATGGATTTTGGGTATCATGGTGTGACAGTGTGCCTTCATCCTTGGTAACAAATGTACCACTCTAGTGAATGATGTAAATAATAGAGGCTGTGCATGTGTTGGGGTGGGGGGGTATATGGGAAATACCTTCTTGTTGATTTTGTTGTAAACCTCGAACTGCTCTTAAAAAAAAAAAGTTAACATTCTCAGACTATTAGGGTGGACATTTTTGGCAAAACCTTTGTGTCAGTAATATGTATGCATACATATATGTGTGTGTGTGTGCGCCCACTTATTGGATCATGACCTGTGATGTATTTTTTTTTTATTTTGGTATCGTTAATGTACAATTACATGAGTAACATTATGGTTACTAGACTCTTCTTATTATCAAGTCCCCACCACATACCCCATTATAGTCACTGTCCACTAAGATGTATTTTTTAGGTCAAAAAAGTGCAAGCCATAGTAGTAAGTTATACTGGCAAATAGAAGCACAAATGAACCTCAAAAAATTTTTATTACACATTCTCTTTAAGGTCCTTTGGATTATGATTATAAGCAGCAGAAAGTGACTGCAGCTAACTTAAACAGAAGAGGAATTTATTAGAACGAAATTGGGCAGCTCACAGAATTTAAGGGAAAGATAAAAAGTATGAACCACAGGAGTCCTAGGGTCTGGGTAGGTGGAAAAAAACTAATGGAGGGTTTCTACTTCTGGGTGAATTGATTCCAGCTGTTTTAGGTCTTTTACCTTTCCGCTCAAGATTCCAGAGAGCCCCTGATCCTCCCTTGGCCAGGGCAGGGGGCTTCCTTGATTGACAGGCCCACCGGATTACTCAGTGAAGGAAGGAGATTCCCCAAAGCAAAACCCAAATAGTATTACTGGTGGAGGAGGATGGAAGCCATGTGACAAAAGCAAAAGATGTTCATTACGTTAGACTTTGGTTTGAATGATCTCTGATTTTCTTTTTCTTTTTAAATCTTTTTTTTACCCAAGGAATAAGTCTGCATGACTTTAAAAAGATCTAATAATATCAAATGGCTTTTAAAAGAAGATAGCAAGCAGTTCCCTATCCCAAGTCCTGTCCCATGGCAATAACCACTTTAAATTGTTTTAGCCCTTTGTCTGGTGTTTACTGCCATGTTTCTAAATAATATGCTTGTAGTGATACTGATTTATCAGTTTTAGATGTGTATTGACTTCCTGTTGTAGGAATTTTAGGTAGGTTTATACTTCTGCCCCTTATATGCTCCCTTTCCCTTCTCCCATCCTTCCAAAGTAATTACATCACAGTTTTTGGCTAAACTGTGATTTCTGTTAATAGCATTGTAGTTAAGAGCTTGGCCCTGGGAATCTGACCCAGTGGGCTGTAGTCAGATCTTTGATGTTTGCCTTGCCTAAGATCACTTTAGGAAATTACTTAATTTCCTCAGTCTTAGTTTCCTTATCTGTTAAATGGGGCTATTAATTATACCCTGCTCATAAGGTTGTTGTGCAGATTAAATAGGATAATGCTCTTGAAACATTAAGCACAGTGCCTGGCACATGGTAAATACTCAGATGTTAGCTGTTATTTTCAATTTGCTACTGACCAGCTTACACTAGACTGTTTTAGCCTTCCCTAAGATCCCTGGCCAAGGGATGGAGGAAGAGTCTGGGAACTTTCTGGTCTGGTCAAGGTTTGAGCCTTCTCTGTGTTGACAGTTGTTCTTATCTGTTCCTTTTCCCCTGAAAGGTCTTGAGGATGAGAAGGGGTCTAGAGATAGACCTAGGGTGGAGAGCTAAGTAACTTTAGCTTATCCTAACTCAGCCAGGACTGGTCTTAGAGTGATGTCATAGTTTATATTTTGGCATCCCTCTCTGGGTGTCTTTCCTCTTCTTCCTTTTTGTGATGTCATGGCTAAGGCAGCTCGTGTCCCATGATGTGCTGGGCTCTTTGATAAGGTGATTACCATTAAATAATCTGTCAGTGTTACTTTTCCTTAAAATACTTACATTTTTTTTCATTATCTCTAATTTTTATCTTGATCAATCTTGTCCAGAGAGGTCCTCTCAGTGCCTGGGTGGATTTGGAATTTTTCATCAGCTGTAGTTTGAGCCTTTGTTCTGGAACAGGTGTTACTCCTTTAGGACCTCAGAAGCTGAATTATTTAATACCAAGTCTTTCTTGAGCCCGATTCCTTTATTTATTTATTTTAAAACTAAAGCTGTGGTTTATTCAAAGGCTTACTATAGGCTTTATTATTTTTTAACAACAGCCTTGCTGAGATATTATTCAGATACCATACAAATAACCCATTTAATTTAACAGTTTTTAGTATATTCACAGAGTTGTACAGTCATCAACACAATGAATTTTAGAACATTTTCATCACTCCATAAAGAAATCCTGATCCATTAGCAGTCATTCCCATCCCAACTCCCTGCCCCGCCACCACCCCTAGCTATAGGCAATCACCAGTCTACTTTCTTTCTCTATGATTTGCCTATTCTAGATATTTATATAAATGCAGTCATATAATATGTGATCCTTTATGACTGGCTTCTTTCAAGTAGCATTATGTTTTTAAGTCAACTTATGTTGTAGCATGAATCAGCACTTCATATGGCTGAATAATATTCCATTGTATGGATATATTATCACATATGTTCATGAAAAAATGTTGGTGGAATTTTGAGTAGTTCCTACTTTTTGTCTATTATGAAAA